GGGGAAAATAGAAGGCCCCCGGGCACGCGGGAATGCTGCTCGCCCCTGACAAAGACGTGGATTCAGGGCCAATCAAAATAGTTACCACAATTCCAATCCCTGGCACTGACCACGCCAAATCGCTGCCATTCCCATTCCCAGCTGTTTGTGGGCGGAATGTCTGTGTTCCTCTGGCCATTTGCCAAATCACAATTGCCGGCATTCGATGATAAATATGCTTTGCATGTGTTTCTGCCCCGGTTGCCACGTTTCTCCAATAGAAAACCCTTGCCGGCCACTGCTCCCAGGCACTCAACAGATAATTATCGGTCATTTACTCTCAATTTTTGCTTACTTTTGGGTTCTTACGGTTTAATGGTAAGAGTTGAGTTTAGGCCTCACAGAACGATTTATAATGATTTTGTTACTGTTAAAGAATCATTTAGTTTATTATTTCTACCAGATTTTTACTACCAAATCTTTGTAGCTTTCATTTTTGTACCCCTGACCGTCATATATTTCATCATAAATCAAAACTCTTGACAATTATCAGCTTGATCTTTGCATATTATCAGGATCTAAGAGAAACGAGAACAACGGGAGGCACGACTGCACTTTCATCTGTATCCTTCACCCAGTTTAAAGACTTCAAGGGGTACAATTTGTAGATATATCTAACCAGATCGCGAGCGAGCCTTGAGATGCAGAAATTCTTCGCTCGAGTGCCGACAGCCAGACGAACGGAACACTCAGCCAAAAGAGATTCTCCGCCAGACGATGCCGTCGAACGTCGTCAAACAGCGAAATTCATGACCAAATGGCTCTACAATGTCAATAGCACACGCCCCAAACCGGCCAAATAAGAAGAGGAGCGAGCTCGTGCGCCCCCACATTAAATAATACATACTTATTGGTCCCATTTTATTCTTTAAACTTGGGGATTTCTTTTTGAAGAGCCGATATCGGAAATGAAACTGAAATTGCGCCGCAAGCAGCAAAAAAGCAGCATCCGCGATAATGCTAAAAATATTTGCCACGATCTGCAGCCAGTCTATAATTGTACGAATTATATAAATATTTGAAGAGTATTTGCCCGGATTTCGGGGTATTTGTGGTGGGCCCATAAAGAGATCAACCTTCATTTAATGGTAGGTAGATAAGGAAAGCATTATAAGTTTTCTGCTATCGCAGAGAGGGTATTTCCTAATTAGAATAACACCTTATAGCCTAGGTTATGGACTCTGCCAGAGAAAAATAGAATTTCTGAAGCAATGCTATGTGGAAAAATCAAAACAAAATGCTATTCGACGTGTGAAATGCAGGTTCGTGACGAAATGTAGGCGCCAAGAAATGGAAATGAGCCTTAACGAAAGGTGGTATACCCTTTTAATTGTTGTACAACAATTATTCGTAATTAAAGTTAAAAAATTTATTGTTTACATATTAATTTATTTGAAATTAATTTAGCTTCCAGCTGACTCACAAAGGGTAGTACAGGCTGATGACTTCATTGTTTTATCATTTTTGTATTCAAGGGAATCACATGAAACGAACGATTCATTACATTATTCACGTATTTCTTAATATATATATTTACTATTATTATTACTTTTCTTTATTTAAAATCTTCAAAAACCCTTTAAAATATATATCAAAAACCATTAAATTTGCAGGTGAAAATTAGTACGCAGAAACAGAACGAAAAGCCAAAATCAGTGCCCAGAATTTGTTGTTCGTAATAAGCCAAGTTATGAGTATTATTTGCTAAACGGCCGGCGGCGCCAAGTAAACATATTTGTTATTCTTTTCAATTGCGTCAATGCGGCTGCTTCTCGGGTACGCTAAGGGGGCGTAGCAGGGGTTTTGGCCCACTGAAAATGGCTAACAAGTGTGTCTTGTTTGCCATACTTGGCCCTCTCAGAATTACAGCCCTGTGTCTGGGAAATCTCAGCGCTATGACCGATCGCTGATCGATCACTATCAGCGCCAAAGATCTGTAAACATTATTTAATCCTCTAAACAATACCTAATATTCTCGCTTTCAGTTTCATTCTGGTGAATATTTCCTGCCGCTGTGGCTGTTTTTGATTTTTGTTTACTCAGTCAGTCGGTCGGTCGGTTTAATGACACAAACAGAGCCCCAACTCGTTCTGGGGAAAAATATTTTTGTTTTCAACAAATCTCAAATGGCATAAAGACTGCATTTTAAAGGGGATCGAATTGCGAGACTTTGACTCGGGCACCCACTTGGAAGTGTAAATAAACAAAAACGAAGCTAACTTTTGGACTATTAAGCATTTATATTCTTAAGAGATGTAATTAGATTTCTAAGTGACATTTGGAGAAGGAAAATGAAACAATATTAGAAGAAAAGTGCACCTATGACTCAAAAATAAAATCAAAATTAGAATTTAAAACACCAAGAGCAGATGAAATATTGATTTAATAATCAACAAGATCAAAAAGAACATCGCAACATGAAATATTGATGATAAAAACGATCATATTTTCCCATGTGCTCTTCTATATATTCTATATTTATTTCTAATAATATTTCGGTGCAAATATTTCGGCAAATACTCATACTTTTAATAATTATAATTGCACTGCACCGATTTTCCAATTGCGTTCTGGCGGAAATACAGAATTAGAAATACCGAAAGGCACACACAACCCCCAAAAGGTCGCTGAAAATGTAGTTTCTTTTTCGACCTTGGCGTGACTAATGTCGCATGTTGCTGCTCTATGACGTCGCAGTTTTTCCCCCATTTAAAAATTTAAATAAACGAATCGAAACGAACGCATATTAATGCCAAAATAATGTGCATTTATAAACAGAAGAATCTGAATCAAAGGAATTAATTCGTAGGCAGTTATTACGAAACGAAACCCTCCACTTTTCCCCGGTGTCAAATCAATTAAATTTGAAATAAATGGACAACTGTTGGGCTGCGAAGAAGGATAGTGTGTCTTCTTGCTAGAATTATACACATATATTCAAGAAATATTTGCAATACACAAAGAGAAACATGCCAGAAATAAAGAAAACTGATTTCTTGAGAATATCAACTGGGTTTTCTGAGTGTAAACCTATAGGCTATTCGTACGTTTTAAATCCCACAAGAATTATATATATCTAATAATTTTTTTCATTCATTTTGGCTGCGTGGCCAAGTTTTCTTTCGGACGGATCAAAGTTCAAGGACATTTCCAGTCAAACAATATGGCAAATGCATTTTTTTAAATATGAGTTTAAAGGTCAGAGCCCCGAAAACAAAAGCAGGAGATGTGTATGTTTTGTATTCCTAAAATACTCAAAGCTTTTTAATATGGGAGCCTTATTAGCAATACAAAAAAAAAACAAGTTACCCTTTAAAAACTCTACCCAAAACTCATCCTAAAACTCCTCTTAAAAGGTCACATCAAATTATAGATGCAGTCAAGGAAAAGGTAAACTTTAAATTATTTAAGGCCTCAACAAAATCGATGTAAATACCAATGTACGACGCACTTCTATGTACGCTTTATAATTTATTCATCAGGAATTTTTGGGGGCAGGTCACAAAGAGGGGCGGCTTTTCCGCAGTTGATAAACCGAATGAACAGCTGGATGGAAAAATATTGTACGTTGAATAAAATGTAATAATAATAAGAGCCAAAAAAAAACACAATAAAGAAAGCTTACTTTTTCAGTTTGCAATCGGATCAGGGCACCAAAACCAATTGATCATACCCCTTTCTTATTGATTTGCAGGGTATTGTAATTTCAGTCAGAAGCTTAGAAAACACTGAAGGAGTCATTTCCGACCCCATAAATCATATATATTCTTGATCAGCATTAACAGGCGAGTCTTTCTAGACGTTTCGGAGAAAAAAATTTTTTTTAAATTTTTTTCAATATTTTTTAAGGGGTTACATCGTTAAAATTCTCAAAAATGGCCAAAATTTAGATTTTTTTTAAAACTAATATTTTGTTTGCAGATTTGTTAGTCTAGAAAAAACTAGCCCAGAAAAGCTTTCCGAATTGAATTTAATGATTTTTTGGCTGAGTTATAATAGATTTTTGATTTGGTGTCCTGATTTCTATGGCAAACTGCAAGGGTATACACACTTCGGCTTCCCAAAGTTAGTTTGTATTGTTTTTTTAGTTTTTTTGCTAGATCTACTCGACTATTGATGCTGATCAAGAATATTTGTTGATGATGGGGCCTGAAATAACCCCTTTATTGCACTGCAAGCGTCTGATAAAAATTGAAATACCCTGCAAGGGTATAAAAATACAAAAGTCCAGTCAAAATACATACAACGTCTGGCTGCGCTGTTTGGTTATCTTATCATTCAGCAACAGCACTCGCCTGACCGCCATAAATAATCTGAACAAAATAAATAAATACCAGACTGGCGATTTTCACTGTCACAATGTTAGTCCAATTGATGCAACTTATTTGCTAATTAATTATCAATTTCATGTGACAGGGCGGGGGCCTGATTGCAACAGATTATTTGGTGGAAATTTTAAATGGGAAAGTACAGAGATCCCGGAAGCCTTGCCTTCTTTATTAATTTGTAAATAATAATAAATAAAATAAAAAAGGTCTACGACAAGATGCCTACATTTGTTCAACCAAAATACTTACAACAAAAAATATCTATTGGTTGACAATTGATAAAAAAAAAATACTTTAAAGATAGATGCAATTTTCTTTTGATGAATCAAATTTTTTCAATATTTTTTGATATGATATTGAACGCAATATTTATGTAGTTGTATTAGATCGGACCTCTTTACTCAATATATGTGCTTATGTTGCTGCAATTAGCGATATTCCACCGGATAGGATATAATACATCAGGCACACCACGTGGCAATTGGGAATCAATAGACGACAAGACCTTGGCTTGATTGCTGTTTTTCCCTCTGCTGCTGATAAATTCTGTTTTCGGTTCCTGCTGTTTTTCCGGGCTTTTTCCCCCTTTTCAACCGCAATTGGATTACAATGGTTAAAAATAAATACAAGTGCATGCACAGAGAAAGTCATTTTGTGGATTTTATAAGAGGTTTTGTTAATTTATTTTGTTTGCAGTTAAAACAGTTTTCTTCCACTTATTTTACAAGTTTTCAAAGCCCAACAATTATAACCGAAAGCCGAAATACGTTTATAGTTTTAGCCTAAAATATATGCCAGTCTGGTAATTTCCCGCTAAAAAAGGAGACGTGCCCACGAAAATGGTTTTTCTTCAAACGAAAAACATAAAAATTGGGATCCAAAAGCAGGCAAGGTAATTCATAAGTCCTAGAATGTTACACAAGATAATGTATCTCCTGCTTTTAGAAACCTTCTTTTCAAAGAGACTTCAAAGGAGTACAAATTGTTTGTGGGCACTCCTTGAAAAATAATAATAAAATAATAAAAACAAAAAACTGGCACACAGTCCCCGCAGGATTTTATACATTCATTAGCTAGGCGTTCGCGTCGAGGGATCCCTAGATCCTCCTGATCTGAACGGCCCTCTACCCAAGGTTTCGCATATTTGCTTACAAAATTCGAGTGAATCTTAGCCTAGACGAGCTACTTACTAGACAAGATCTACGACAAAAATCTAGGATTGCAATATTTTGTTTGTGAAGTTGTGCTAATTGCTAGTACAAAAATATATATATGTATATATATTACAGCTAAGTGGTCATCTAGATGCCGAGCAGGCACTCGCCGGGAGCCACTGCTCCGGCGTACTCCGCTGGCTACGCCTGCGTCACAAAGTACACCTCCCCGGAGGAGCCCACCACCACGGCATGTGTGTCGCCGGCGGAGCCAGTGGCTCCCGTTAGAGTCGTACTACCCTGGCCAGCCATTAGACTGGTCATGTCGGTGCCATTGCTCACGATGCTCACCGCACCGCTGAAGCCATCGTCGTCCGGCTGCCCGGCGCCCACCACCTGCACGTCCGTCGTGTGATCCGTCGTCTCCACGTGCATTTGCAGGGCATCGACGCTCTCGTACAAGGATCCACACTCGCCGCACTTGAACAGTGGCTCCACCACCTCTGGATGCTTGCGCTCCACATGCCACTTAAGGTTCGCCGCCGACGAGAAGTTCTTCCGGCAGTTGGCCACGCCGCAGCAGTAGGCTCGCTGCTGGTGCGTCTGCCGGTGCCTGTACAGAATCGCCTTCGACTTGAACGTGCGATTGCAGATGGTGCAGACTGGCGTGCTCGACTCGGCGTCGTGCGTCTTCATGTGCATGCGCAGCATGCCGGGGCCCTTGAAGCTTTTCAGGCAGATCTCGCACTGCGGCTGCTTCTTGCAGTTGGCGCGAATCCAGTTGGTGTGCGAATGCATGTGGTTCTGCAGGCCCTTGAACTGCCGGAACTCGGTGCTGCACAGGTGGCACACGTACCTGCCCGACCCCAGCGGCGATGTGTGCTGTCGTATGAACTCCGTTACCAGATTGGCGTCGATCTCGTAGTTGTCATCCGCTCCAGCGGCGGCAATAACACTCGCCGTCTGCACCAGTTGACGGGAATTGGCTGCCGCCAGCTTACTGCTAATGGTCGAATGTCCAGTTGTGGGTGGCTGATGGTCACAGGGCTCGAGGGTGACTCCAGCGGAGGCGGCTGATGTAGCTGCTTGGTGAGCGCGCTTGGCCCGCTTGGGCGTGGGACTCGGCGAGCTAACGCTCAGGGTGGGCGGCCCCATGGCGTCCGCCGTCGCCTGGCTAAACTCCACCACCGCGTTCTCCAGCGATATGCTCTGCAGCTCTTCCTGCTGCTGATGGTGCGCCTGTGCCTGCTCATGCTCAAGGAAGGCCTGGTCTATCTCGGCACTCGTATCGCCGTCCGGCGGCTCCATAATGGCGTATTGCAGGTCGGCATCGTCCACGTCATCCACGTCGTCCACGTCGCCGGACAGATGCGGTTGGTGGTCGTCCGTGATGTATTCGCAGTCCGAGGGGCTGATGGCCTCTGCATCGGGATCCTCTAGCATTTCGTCGTCCTCCAGCTGGATTTCCTCGATGATGAACTCCTCCTCCTCCTCATGTTTCAGCTGCTCCTCCATGTCGCCATCCACATCGTCCATCGCCTCTTGGTGGTCCTCCAAGTCGTCAAAGTACTCGTGTTCCTGGCTCTCGCTCTGCGTGAGATCCTCGTCGATCAGCACCTGGTGGTGATGATGCTGTTGCTGCTGCTGATGGTGGTCCTTTAGGAAATCCTGCTGCTGGTCATCGTCTAGCACAATGGTCTCGAAGCTGTGGTCCCCTTTGCTGTCCAGCTGATCATACACCTCGTCCAAGTCCTCGTCCTCCACCTCGCAGCCATCCTCCAGCAGTTGGACATCCGCATCCGCGAGAGAAACGCCGCCATGGTGGCCGTGTCCCATGTCCGTGGCTGATGTCGTCGTGGTTGTAGTAACTGCCGACACTCCGGTGGGCGCCAGCGTCCTCTGGGGCACCAGTTGAACCAGTTGCAGGGTTTGTGTGCCGTTGGGCTGCTGGACAATCTGTAGCGTCTGCCCGCCCGGCGTCTGCAAGAGTTGGGGAAGGAACTGGGACTGGCCGGCGGTGGCTGCCCCGTTTGCCGTAGCCTGCGGCGCCGTACTGATAATCTGCGCCAGCTGCGGAGCTACGATCTGGGCCGTCGTGATGAACTGGCCGTTGGGCAGCAGGATCTGCTGCGGCAGCGTCGTAGTGGCAGCGGCCGTGGACAGGAGCTGGGCGGGAGCGGGCTGAAGGGTGGGCAGCTGCAGCTGCTGGATCTGTTGCTGCAGGGTCTGCGGTTGTTGCTGCTGTTGCGTAGGTTCCGGCAGGAGCTGCACCTGCTGCTGCTGCTGCGGCGGAGGGGGCTGGGCTGGCTGTGGGGCTGGGGCAGCCTCCAGATGCCGCTGCTTGTGCTGCCGCGATCCTTTTCTCAGCAAAGGCTTTAGCTTGGGCTTGGCCGCCGGGGCAGGCTGTTGTTGGTGCTGCTGCTGGAGGATCTGTTGCTGGTGCTGCTGCTGTTGCATCTGCTCCTCGAGGAGCCGCTGCTGCTTTTGGAACTGCTTTTGCTGTTTGCGCTCTAGCGCCTGCTGTTTGGCCGCCGCCGTCTGCTCCTCCGCTACGAGGCGGACGGTCAGGCCATTGATGTACTCGCGCAGCTCCTTGTCGCTGCGCTCGACGAGCGTCTTGAAGGCATGATTCCGGCTGACGGCGTGGACGCACTGCACGCAGATCTTGTCCGGCCAGCCCTCGGTGGGCTCCACATGCACGTTGGTGATGTCCATCAGCATCTCGGGCACCTTCTCGCTGAACAGCGGGCGCATCTCCTTGCGCTCCGAGATGCACAGACGGCAGATCTTGTCCAGTTCCAAGGCTTTCTTGCGGTCCATCATTTCGTGTGTGGTAGATCTCTAGGGTTATGCTGCAAAAACAAAAGATTAGCACACACCCTGACATATCGTCCCCTAAAGGTGCATCGCAAGGAGTCCTCCGTTTGCCGCCAAAATTAACTTTAATTAAATTTGATTTTCGGATTGCAGATCCTCTTTTGGCTAACAGCGCTGTTAAGGCGCTCCTGCTAACAACAGGGGCCGTTCGCAGGTCTGGTAGCTCCTGCGCCAAACAGAGACAGCTATAGTGTTATACACAATTTGCCATCTTGGTGTTGGTGTGAGCGAAAAATCATATATTTTCAGGTCCCAAAGAACGAAACAAATACATAATCCACGACTTGAATCGCGATTTGATTCACTTACTCCCGCACTCGATGCACCTTTCTCCCCGGGACCTCAGCTGGCGCAATTTTCAACCGTTTCAGCCGCTTACCTGCGCTCAATTTTTATATAATTTCCGCAGCTCGCCCCACATCCACATCCAAACACAAAACTTCGTCAAATATGGCCGCGTCACACAAAATTTCCACTAAAATTCACATATTTATGGTGGGGGGTACACGACACGCACGGGATGTCAGAATCAAAACAAATGCCACACCAGTGGGTCACTCTGCGACCCGATCGAATGAAATAACTAGATGTCTGTGCCTGGGCCAACGCAATTAATAAAGTTCAATGAGATGAATGAATTTCTCTGCAGCCGCGAGAGTTGCTTCTGTCTTTCTGTCTTTTTCTGTGTGTGAGTGAGATGATAGGCGTGTTGCAATCGCGGGCCTGCCAACTCGCTTGCGGCGATAAGGTACTAAGGCCTCGCCGGCCGCAAAATCATTGTTTTTATTTTGATTACTTAATTTTTGCTACTGGACTCAACAATAGACACTGCTTAAAACACTTTGCCTTTAGGTATAAACAGTTGTTCAGTTGACTTACCTTTTCTCTTCAATCCATTAACTGCAGCCTGGAACACCGCCAAGGCCCGCCTGGGACATCCGGCAACTGCTGCCCTCGCTGTGTTTTTCATTTATTTACACGTTCTATGTAACCATTTCACTTTAATTTACAATTTCACTTTCGATTTACACTTCACCGAACGGTTTACACACGACCAAACACTTTTTAATTACCCATTAAAAGTAGGATGAGAAAATAAGGATTTTTGGCAGCGGGCCTGCCAACCCGGTTTAAGCGAACTGACATTTCGGAGAGCGAACACCTGTTGATCTCTGTTTATTTTCGGAGTAACTTATGATTTAAAATTAAAATTTTAAATGGATTTTTTTTAGGCTGGCGCCGGAACATTTGTGTTGGCCAAATCGTACATTTGCCTCTGCTTGTTCCGCCGGCTCTGCGTGCGTATCACGAGATACAGACCGACCACAACGGCGAGGGCCAGGAGCAGGGCACAGACCACAAACCAGCCGTAGAAGCCCGGCTCATCCTCATCCTCGTCCAACTCCGAATTTTCCCACTCGGTAAAGTTTCCCGCGGTCTGATTCTCCTTCAGTTTTCCTGCCTTGTGCTCGCGGAAAAGCGATGCCTTGGCCAGATTATTCGATTCAGGGGCCTGGAAAACCGGCTCCGTGTTGTCAATCCGGACGAAGGTGAGTCGGGCACCGGCTAGAGGCTGCTTGTAGCGCCTTAACCCGTGGCCGTAGTACTCGTAGATGTCGGCGCCGAACTCCCGTTGCTGGTCCACCCACTGGCCAATCACCTGGACCTTCACCTCGCTCCTGGCGTCCATGGTGCGGCCGAAGTACGCCTTCTCGGCCACGTCCAAGCCGCCCACGCCGTGCTCGTCCAGTTGCAGGACCGAGCCGCGATGCTCAAAGAGCAGCGGCAGCCTGGCCAGATGCTGCTCGTCCCGATACACAGTGGTCGTGTTCAGCTCGATCTTCTCCACGAAGGCGTAGTTGAGGCTGCCGTAGATGGGCTTCCGCTCGCCGCTCGGATTCCGGAGCACGCTGTCGCCCAGGTGCATCTTGTAGCTGTTGGTGACGTTGCGCCAGGGCAGATAGGTGATGTTCCGCAGCTGGTACATCAGCGGCTCCAGCTCCACCAGCACATTGATGTTGTCCTCCAGGCCGTACTGGAAAGGATTCAATCTTTATGAGCGATCTTGGGGTAATCCTGGAGGAAACACTCACAAAATTGTCCCCGAATATCATGACCACGCAGGTGAAGAGGCTGTCGGTCACGGCATTGACCAGATCCGTGTGCCGGAAGTGGCACAGCTCTGTCTTCTCGCGCTCTACGTTGGTGGCCTTGGCTATGTAGGTCAGTCGCTCCTTGGGGTTCAGCTCGGCGGCATAGTTCTTGAGCACGGTGTGGTAGGGCACCCAGGCCAGCACCGAGTCGGCACTGTTGGCGCACAGCTCCTTCTGGGCGCCGCGTCCACTGAGCTCGCCGTTGTGCAGCCGCAGGAAGTGATGGTTGTCCCTGTGCACCGTGGTGGATCCATGATCGGCGCACAGCGTGTCTACGAGGCTCGCCTGCGGATTAAAGACAGATAAAGGTGGTAGTATTTGGACTTATCTAGGCACCAAACTGCCGCCGGAACGGCCTTATCTATAGTCTTCCTCTCTGGGCACCATTGTCTGCTTTTTGCTTTATCGCCAAAAGCTAATTCAATTTGGAAAACATATGAGTATGGCTGATAGCCACTCGAGGTGGCACATTTATGGCCTAGCACCTGGCATTGGATCAAGTCACTTAAGGATGTCGATCACCGAGACTGGTTTCCAACACTTTGGAGCTGAGATTTTGCCATTTTTGGTCAGGGGGAGGGAAGGTCATGTGGCTTTAAATGGAAAAGCTAAAGTATAGTTGCGTGAGGTCTTGATTTTTAAAGAAATTGTAAGGTGTTTATGGGCAAAGCTCTTTAAGGGAATAATGAATACTATTTGAATATAAGAATCAAATGTTTTGATTAGAAAACAAACTGCATTGAAATAAACCCCAAGAGAGGCGCATAAATTAGCACAAAATTAGATAAAACTGCACTCCAAAGGTTTTCCAAATAAGTAACATTCCCTTTGGTTGATTCACCTTCTCCTTTAGGGTCAGAGTGGTGGCCTTAATATGACACTGCAGATCCCGTTCGCTGGGCATCACCACATGGCGATCAATCTCGGAGAGAAGCAGCGGCTCCGTCTCAATGCAAAAGTGAGGGTGCTCCTCGAAGGCCGAGCCAAGAGTCACCACTAGCAGCACCAAGGCCAAACATCCGATGGGTTTAGCTAGCGCAAACATTTCCGCCGTTCCAGAGTTCTTGGAGTCGTCTGTAGCTGCCGCCGGAGCACGCGCGAGTCGGTCAGTGGACAAATAGAAACTGAATTTGCAATTTAAACGGACAAACGCTGACCGATCGGTGGATCGGCTAACGAACGACCCGAGAATATCACCATATTTATCTATCTGGTGAAGGATTTCGGGCCGAGATTCGGGTCGATTTTCGATGAGCAAACGTCACCGGCGAGTGAGTAACTGCTGCTAGGAGGGGTGGCAGCCGCCTATTGCTTAAATTGGAGCGTCAACCAAGGCGATAAGATAAAGTTGGTAGGCATACCGACTCCCGATGTGACCCAGCTAGGCTGTATATTCCCAGATTAAGCAATAACCAATCCAGAAATAGTAAAGAGAAAAGACTATCCAAAATTCCAACAAGATTACACTTTATTTGTTTAAATAGCAAAAGTTTTATGCAATTCTCAGTTTGGGTTTGTACACTTCTCATCGAAATTGTTGGACAATTGTTGTATTTGCAATTTTAATTACTTCATGTTCCCTTTTGCTTCTTTTTTTCTGTACAAAATTGGAAAATAACAGGGGGTAACAGGCTTATGAGCTAGAGCTTATTGATATTATCCGTCTTATCCTAGATTGGCAACGAGCTGTCTCTGAGCGTCGATGGTGGGGTGGATCCCTTCAACAGCAACAGGAGAGGTGTGGAGAGGACAGGAAGAACGAATCTCATTCTAGAAACAAAATTACATTATAATAATCTAATGATGTAGAGCAAAGGAGCAGTTACCATCTGAGCTGCTGTCGACATTGGGGAAATAGTCAAACACATCGTCTTCGGCATCATCGTCCCCATCTCCGTCAACGTCCACGTCTATGTCCTCATCACTGCTTAGCAGCTCGCCGTCATCCAAATCCCCATCATCGTCATCATCATCATCATCCTCGTCCTCGTCATCGTTGTTGCCGTTGCCGTTGAGGTTGCGCCGCAGCATGGGGAAACCCATAAAGTCAGGACCTAAAGTAAATGCTGCTTGCGGGTAAGACGTTGAAGGAGCCACTCGGGAATAGCACATCACTTACTCTCGGAGCCCGTATCCGAACCGTCCTCATCAGATTCGGGCACCTCCTCATCATCTTCCTGCAAGCATAGACATAATATTTAGTTCAATATCATCCATACGCCGCATAAGGGTTCGCAGATCGATTGCAGCGCTGGCATTTAGATTCGGATTAAGATGTGGATTCGGGTGGCCACTACCGTTCCCGCTCCCGTAGCTACCACCCAGTGTACGTGCTCGCCGTCGCACGCCAACAATTGAGCTGTTGGCTGCATGCTGGCGGGAAAGATTCGGATTTGCGTACAAAGCGGCGGCGGGATTTATCTGACGGGACTCCTCCTCGGCCGCTAGCGCCGCCTCAAACTCCAACATGGACGAATGACCGCCATGGGCATCGATGGCACCCGCTTGATGCGGCTCCGAGGACGACGCAGCTAATGCGTCGTCCACCTCGCTGCCCAGATCCTTAGCAGTTGGACGCACCTCTTCCGACCGCTCGCCCTTCTTCACGCCCACCGCATAGATCTTCACGTAGGTCTCCTGCTTCGATTCGTAGCCGCTGTAGTCCTCCACGACCGCGATGAGGCCCCCGTTGGCGCTGACGCTCAGGTCATTTATATTGCGCTTCACATCAATGGTAGCTATGCTGGAGTAGTCGTACGAGTCCAGCACATTGAAACTCGTGTCGTAGGTGGTCGTCTCCGAGTCGTGATCCCTGTCTGCGCCCAAGCTGGCACCATAGATGACGTGCATGGGCGAGAAGGTGCATTGGCGTTGGTCCAGCACGGGCACCGTTTGCAGCAAGTGGAAGGTGCGCAGGTCCCAGACCTCCGTGTTGGCAATGATCTGCATGGGAAGATAGTTAATTAAGTCGAGAAACATGGGTTAAACGGAAGGCTCACCTCCAGACAGTTGGGATGGAAGACGCCCGATATGCACTGATTGAACTTGTCGAATTTGTGGATCTCCTTGCCCGAACGCACATCCCAGAGAACGCCATCTGTGGAGGCAATAGAAAATATTGTAAAAAAGGCTTGGTATTTGTTGGTATTTTTTATATCTTTGTTTATATTTCTTACCCGACAATATCAGCTCATCTGTGCGACACAAAGTCGCTCGGTTTTTGGTGTAAAGATTCGGGATGGTTGGAGTAAAGGTGGACATCCTGGTGCCCGTATTTATGTCATACAAGACGGCGCACTGCAAAGGAACAATCACGAAATCATGTAGATCATATCCTAAATGTTAAGGATGCATGCTCCTCTCGCATCTGCAAGAAAACTCACCTCATTTTGAGTGCCCAACAGGCGATCCTGCGATGTCTGACTAAACTCGCAGTAGGTGACGTCGGGCAGGCGCAGCTTCAGCTTGAACTCATTGTCGGCTATGGACCACAGGATGCTGGTGGGGATGCGCCAAAAGCTGGAGGTGATGACCAGATCCCCAGCACGATTCGCCTTGATCGCATCCACACTAAAGTTGTGGCAGTTCGAAAAGAACTGCTCCACGCCGTTGTTCAGGTTGAAGACCCTGCCGTCGCCCTGCTGGGTGCCCACGATGATGTACTTGCCCACCAGATCGCAGCAGGTGAACTCCAGGTCCTCGTAGTCCGCCGAGCGAAGGGTACGCCAGGGCGAGAAGTGGGTGTGGACGTAGCGGCGATCAAAACGGCTTGTATTGAAGCCCGCTTGGGTGCGGGCATGCCGGCTGGTCAGGTTGTAGTTGGAGCTCAGCAGGCGACTGGGCCGCGGATCGGGGCACTTGTGCGGCTCGTATAGGTCAAACTGGGGGCAGGTGATCACCGGATTGTTGCACAGCGAGTGCTGGTTGGTGAGATATTCCGTCACGATGGTGTTCAGGGTCACCCGGTTGGGATGCGGCTGGGCCAAGTCGTCGGGCAGGCCCATGGCCATGCCGCCCGGCTCCATCATGTGCTTCTGGATGACGTTCGAGCGGCTGACCGAGGAGCTCATCGACGGGTGGCGCTCCGTTCGCCGGATCTTGATGGGCGGAGTCTGGCTGCTGGCATTCAAGCATCCAAAGTTCGGTATGCCGCTGCTGCCACTGGCTGCTTCTCCAGCTCCCGCGACCGTTCCCACTGCAGCCAGCAGGGAGTCCTCGCTGAAGCTCCTGCTCGGCTCACCGCTGGCCATAATCGCCGCATTCACATCCTGCATTCGGCTGCGCAGGCGGCTCCTGGACAGCGAGCTGCTGCCGCCGCTGGGCAGGGTCTTGTAGTCGAACGGCGACTGGTGGAAGTTGCGCGTGGTCGGCGTCTGCAGCGGCAGACCCACCTCGCGCTGCAGCATCTGGGCCGTCTGCGAGAGGCCGTTGCTCTCCAGGTGCTCGAAGATGAGCTGGTAGAGCTGCTGCTTGTTGTACTGGATGCGCGTCTGGGCAATCACGTTCGCCTTGTGCATGTTGGAGAGCGACGGATCCAACGGGTTGTTCAGCGGCTTCGTCTTGCCCGACACCCGCTCGAGCAGCTCCAGGGCGTACTTCTGGAAGATCACGTGCTCCGCCCGCTTCTCCTGTAGTATGGGGTCCCGCATCAGCGTCTGGAGCTGTCCGCTGGCAAAGAGCGGCAGCTTGCTTACGATCTGCCGGACGCGATCGGAGCGAGCGAGACCCGCTAGGGCTCGGCAGGCCATGCCGCGGATGCAGTCTGCATCCGTGATGGGTCCCTTGGTCTGCATCAGCGAGAGTAGCACCACGATGCCGTTGTTGGAGCACACCGACTCCCACACGCGCTCGATCAGCTCCTCGGCGTACTTGTTGTTGGCCTTGTTCTTGCGCGACGAGTTCCCGAACTTGATCATCCTACCGCCGGCGCTGCTGCTGTCCGGATTGCGGATAATCGGCGAGCAGACGCAGTGGCAGAGCACGGCCAGCGCCGACTTGAGCACCTCCGCGTCCGTGGTTATCTCCCCAGCGGCTGCGCCCAGTACCGAGCAGAAGCCTGATGTGGTGGTCTTGTCCAGCATCGTGAGGCGTTCGCAGAGGACGACGTACACCCGCGGGATGATGCAGCAAACGCTGAGCACATCCAGGGCCGAGCGCACCGTCTCCGAGCGTCCTGTGTTCATCCAGTCGTAGCTGAAGGCGATGATCCTCAGCAGCATGGTGATGCCGCCCAGCTTCATCAGCTGGTCCACCGGCTGCCACTGGGCGCGGATCGAGGTGTGCTCCTGGAGGGTGCGTATCTGGTCGTGCAGCTGGTCAAAGGTCAGCTTGGCGGCCACCGTGGGATTCTGGCTAAAGAAATGCGACGAGGAGGCGGCGTAGTGCTGGCAGAGGAAGCTGTTGTACTTGTAGAAGAAGTGCGCCTCCATGTACCGCTTGAGGGCCACGCACACATGGCGCACCATCTGCCGCGAGGCGCACTCCTGGTCCTCGTTGATCTCCGAGTCGTTGTCGCTGTCATTGTGGCTGGGATCGAGGATCTTCAGCACGGAGATCTGTGTGGATAAACTGGATTACGTCCTGGACCTTTCTACGTTTTCATTTCCCCTAAAGGTTACTCACCACATTGTAGAGCTTTCGCAAGCCATCCTGGGCATCAAACTCATCCAATATGACCTTGAACTGGAAGCTCAGGCTGAAGAACATGGTGGCATGACACTTGGAGGAGTCGTGGCAGCGCCCCAGGATCCACAGGGCATAGCGCACCAGCTCCGAGATCAGCGGACGCTGCATGCTACAGATGCGCTCCATGGCATCCTCGCAGTAGGCCAGATAGTAAATGGCTATGGACACGCCCGTGGTGGCCAGACTGGGCCGGGGAACCTTCAAGAGAAGCTGCAGGAGGGAAGCAAGGTTAAGGGGAATCTATTGCCACAGGGATTTGATCGCGTTGAACCCACCTCCAGGCCACCGTGGGCAATAAACTCCAAGGCAAACTTCTTGTGACACAGCAGCGAGGCCAGATACTTGAGCACCTCGTAGGCCAGGCAGGTGTCGCGGCGATCCAGGTTCTCCAGATAGCCAAAGATCAGCTGCATCACGTTGTTCTCGAAGGCCATGGCCAGGTACTCCTGATACTCGCCCAGGCTGGTCAGGTATCGCATGATCAGCATCTGGCTGGTGTCCGCCGTCGGCGGATGCATGGGTATGTACATGCGCTTGTAGTACCTCGACACGGGAAAGGCATCCCGGCTGTTCTCGAACAAGATGGACATGTTGGAGGCATCGCCATGAACGGCTGGGATTCCGGCGCCACCGCCATTGTGCTGCGGCGACTGGGGAGCGGACTGATTGCTGGCACAGGCCACCCAGCTGAGCATGTTCGCCGACGCCGTGCTGCTGTCCGCCGACTGATTGTGCAGCGATGTGTTGCTGGCCTCGGAGGCGGCACTCTTGCTGATAGCCAGCAGCATGTGCAGGCGCTTGATCATCTTGGGCACCAGGCGCATGTTCTGATCCCTGTAGTTGATGGTTATGTCGCTCACATCCATGGCATCCGCCAGGAGGCCGGTGGCATAGCTCTGCAGTGGTTCAATGCTGTCCTCCGCCCAGCTGTAGATGCGATTGATGGTCCCGTCGTCGTCGGCGGTCTGAAAGACCACTGTGGTCTCCAGGCCAGGCATTAGCTCCAGGATGAGGCGGCAGGCCAGGATGTTGAGTTCCAGAGAACTGCGGCTCACGCCCTGGCGACTGAAGTAGTTCTCCCGCAGGTAATCGCTGAGGAGCTGCAAGGTAAAGGTGAGTCTCTAAGCTGGGAACTCTGGAGGAACCCTACCTTGCTCATGAACGCATCTTTGCGGAAGAGCAGCTTCAGCAGCAGTCCATACTGGCAGCTGGGATCCGCTCGGTAGGGATGACGCGTGTCCAGGGGATCCGGGTCCTTGCGTCTATACACATCCTTCTCGCGCTCAAAGATCTCGGCCAGGCTGCGGGTTTAAAGGGTTATAGTCAAGGTTGCCTAGAGCATTTTTTCTCTTTTGTTACCTTCTCAAAGTGGGTATGGGATCGTAGCCGTTTTGGGTTTGCTGCTGCTCCCACTTTTCGATGATTGCTGTTAGCTCCCTCTTGGTGGCCTGACGGCGATCGGCGGCAGCGGTTTCCTCTGGATTGCCGCCATCCTCGCCGCTATTACTGTCGTTGCTGTCATTTTCAGCATTCTCGCCGCCATCGCCGGTGCCGCTCTCGCTCATGGCTTCCTCTTCGCCCTCTTGGTTATCTGGCGCTGCCTCACCTGCATCCTCCTCCTCCTCCGCCTGGGCAGCCATCTCTTGAGCCTCGTCCTCGCTCTGATAGGCCACAGCCACGGCCTCGGCCATCAGCGTCGCCTCGCGTTCAGCCGCAGCAGCAGTCGCCGCCGCTGCCGCCTCCTCCTCGCCTTCATTGCCCGCAGACATTGGATGCGAATCGCTGGGCAGCTAGTCCTAGCCGCTTACCTAGTTAGTTAGGGAGTCCAAACGCAGCAAAGCGTTGCTCCAAGTGACGAAATCTAAAGCGTGCGGCGGAAAATACCACGCGCTCTTATTTTTTGCACAACAGTGTGACCGTGTGCCGTTCAGCGAGAAACACCACCGGGCAGAAGCAGAGGGACCAGCGTTTTGTAGCTCCCTCCCTGAAGCCACACCAATCGGTTTGTTTTGTTTTGTCGGCCGATTGGAGCCGCCTCTATATAATACATACAAATATATAATATACCCTATTATATAGTCCGATTCTCCGGCTAAAGTACACATCATGGGTTTCCTCTACATTCTGGGCTGGGTGTCCCTGGGCATACAGATAGTGTTCCTCACCCTGTCCATAGGTGAGGCCACCCGCCGCCGCCGTCTTTGTTTGGTGCCAACGTCTACTCTTTTTTCTTTCAGTGGCCGGCCTCTACTACCTGGCAGAGTTGGCGGAGGAGTACACCACGGCGGCGCGAAAGTGCATTCTGGGCATGATTAGCTTCACCATCTTCGTGTACATCCTGTTGATGCTGTTCGAGGACCTGCCCTGGAGCATGATTATCTGCGGCTTCGTGGCTCAGGGTTTCCACCTGGCCATCATGGGTGGATTCCCCTTTGTGCGCCTGCTGTCGCTGCCCCTGCTGGGCTCCCTGGCCATGCTGGTGGTCAATCACTTTCTGGCCTTTCAGTATTTCACCAGCGTGTATGTGCCTTTTACGCAGGTTAGTGGATATATCGGGAGAGGGGGTCATTACCTACTTTTCCCAGTATAATTTATTTCTTTATTCAACCAGGTCCTGGCCTACTTCACCATCTGCATGTGGATCGTGCCCTTTGCCCTGTTCGTCTCGCTCAGCGCCAACGACAGCGTCCTGCCCACCACCGTCAGCGACCAGAGCCGGCGCAGTCCCGACGTGGTCAGCAATTACTTTTCGCGGAACAAGAAGCAGGGACTGCTCTCTTTGTTCCAGTATCTGAAGGAGACCGTGCTCCCAGGACGGAGCAAGAAGTCCTTCTAGGATTACAGTCCATCCGATGATAGGTGTGTTCAGTAGTTTATTTATTGTTTAAATTTATTTTTGTAGTCACACCACCACACACACACACAGACACGACGATATTTTGTTTATTTTGTAAAAGGAAACTGAAATTGGAGTGTTACCATGTCTTTTAAGTAGCTCCATTTACAATAAATTGTGATAAACGAATGATATCGCACACTTCCCATTCGATTCATTGACTGGAAAGACCCAAGGCAGGTCCTGGAGGCCAGAAAAGCTCGAATTTAAACCATTTAATGCAAAATAGAGCCTTGGAAATGACTGCTCACAACTTTATTCAGGAAAACGTAATAGATATATAAGGAAAAAGGAGAATAAGTGCCAGTCTACCTATTCTGGACCTTGACCGTGCCATCGGCCATGCCAAAGTAACACTTGTGGGCCATATTCACAAACAAACCCGTCTCCAGGACGCCGGGTATCATGGTGATGGCCGTGTTGACCTCGGCCCAGTCGTACTCCCGGTTGGCAATGAACCTCCAGTCCATCAGGAAGTTACCATTGTCGGTCACAATTGGTCCAGCCTTGACCTTGGCCATCCTTAGCGAGGCCTCGCCTCCGAAGAGCGCCTCAATCTGCAGCTTGATTGGCACATAGGCCATGGGGGCCACCTCAATGGGTATGCCCCGGCACCACTGCTCGCCCAGGCGGGCAGAGTTCTTGGTGTAGTCGGCCACCACAATGAAATGCTTGGCGCAGTTGGCCACCACCTTTTCCTGCAGCAAACAGCCGCCGCCGCCCTTGATCAGCACCATTTTCCGGTCCACCTCGTCGGCTCCGTCGATGGATACATCTATGTTGGGATTCCTGTCCAGGTCGCCCAGGTTTAGGTTGTAGTCCAAGATCAGGTGGTGCGCCTGGTAAGACGAGGGTACACAGATGAGATCCGCCAGCTCGCCCTCCTTCCACCTGCGTTCCGCAATCCGCTGGACGGCATGCACGATGGTGGAGCCGCTGCCGATGCCCAGGATCTTGGTGTCCTCGGTCACCCACTGGTCCACGGCTGTGCGAGCCGCCGTCCTCTTGGCAGCATCTACGGCAATGTCGTCAGTCATCTTGTCGCGGGCTTGTGAGTAAAGTGCGGTTGCCCCGGTTAAGAGTAGTCTTTCGCTCAGATGTTGGATGAGGAGGAACTGAGGTCGCTGGACGCTGCGACGCAAAAGCTCCGATAACATGTGGTTAGCAATCGGCGTTCAATTCCAACTTCAATTGACATTGAGATCAAGCTCTGAGGAGCAGACGAGGTGATGCGCTAGGGATTTCTCACCGCTGCGTCCGTTACGTTTGTGCAACGTAAGCGCGACAACGGAACGTTAATTTCAAAAAATAATTATTGCAGGTAAGTGTAAGGTGTTAACTACTGTACTCTGTGTTTTATTCTATATTTATATAGTTTACAGGGTAATTTGACGTTCTTATAAATGAGAAATTGTGTACATTTTGTCTTTGTTTTTGTTATATTGAGATCTCAGATCTTTGTTTTATTAGAATCACGTAAGCCCCTTGTTTAATTTTTCTTTTTAATATTTTATATCACAAGGCAATTATGGAAATAGTGTGCAATCTTAGCAGATTGCGAAAGTTCCAAGCCTTTGGTTTTCAAAATAAATAGACTTAAGAACTTATCTAAATCATCTAGACTGGTGAGGTTTCTCTAATAAATAGTAAATAATAAAAAATAAAACATGACTCTTGAATGCCAATTTATTTATGATTAATAATGTTGAAAGAACATAAAAATATATATGATAATAAGCATTATTTTTAGTCTTCGAAATGATTATAATAATGTTTTATGGTTAATATAGGTTCATGTACCTTATGGCAGATTCTTAGTTCTTAATTTTTGTTCAAGTTAAATGGCTTGTCTTAAGGCTAACTCCCTGTATCTGTCTCACTTTGAGCCACTGGCCCCTTGGTCAAGTATAAAAGCACAAAATTGGTAGCATTTAGTTAAGAGAATCAAACAGATTCGAGGAGAAATCAAAGGTCACCACTTTGGGGGCAAAGAAACCCCCGTAGCCGGGTCGCCCTTTGTGATAGATTCCCAGGCCAACAAGCGGAACCGGCGGCTGAGGAACCACCTCCTGCACATCCACAAAGGGCACTGTGTTCTGGGCCGCATCTTTCTCCCGGCTGGAGCTGGTAAACTCCATGAACTGGTTGGTCTTAGATAGCGGCAGCGACGGCAGCTCAGAGGCGGTGGGCAGACCACCGTCCTTCACAATCAGCTTCTGGCGCTGCGCGTTGGTGTTTCCCAGCCAATAGCTCTTCGTTTGCGGTTCCACCAGGAGGCCAGTAGAGAAGTTAAAGGGAGTGAAGCGCACCTCGAGATTCAGGTGTTTGTTGAGAACACGGAAACGTACACCGGTGACCACGTGGTGCGTGGCATTGCCCACGATCTCATCCAGGTCCAGGGCTCGGCTGTCCGCACTCAAAGTGTGATAGTCGTAGCCATCGCGTAGATCCGAATCGGTGAGGTTGAGCTCCTCCAGGGGCTGCCATTCCAGGGAGCTGATATTAATGGCCCCGCGGGGCAGGAGCTCGCCCTGCTGCAGCTGCAGGTGGAATACGCGGTGGTGCTTCACAAACCTGACACCGGTAACGATCCTGTTGCGCCCGAAATCCGAGACAGAGTCGCGCAGGTTGAAGTAGCGATCGGACTTTGGACCGGGCTCGTCGCACAGGCAGAAGCAGTAGTGGCAGCGCCAGAAGAGCCAGTACGACCAGGAGGAGGGCTCCACCGCCTTGGCCCTGCACTCCCCGTCCCCTTTTTCGCCCAGTGTGGGCCCATCACCAAAGGAGATGTACTCGTACCGCCGCACAGAGTCATTGGACGCCGGGCAGATGGTCATATCCGACTCGACGAAGCCGCAGTTGTAGAGCCTCCCCTTGCAGGGTGGCTGCTGGCCACAGAGCTCATTTTCCGGCTGATAGCAGCCCGTGGGACTGCTGTCGTGGTGATCATCGCAGGTGCCCCAGCAGTTCTGGCCCTCGTTCAGGTTGATCTCGTTCTCCACGAAGCCCTGCAGCAGGCGGGTCACGCGCGAGTAGGTCTTCTCCTCCACATGCTGCTTCTGGTCGCCTGGATCACAGCGCCAGTAGATGCGTCCGCTCTTCGACATTACCTGATGCAGCACCCGCTGTGCCTCTGCCAAGCGCCGCTGGTGGTGCTCCCGCATCAGCTGCAGCTCCTGCGTGAAGTTACCCCGTCCAAGCTGACGCAGCACCATATACGAGTACTCCATCAGGGCGTAGCCCTTGAGCTCCGTGAAGGCGGCCGTGGAGAAGATATGGTAGGCAAATTGCTGGGGCGACTGCCGGCCCAGGCACATCTGCTCGGGGTCCGCCTCGAAGCTGGCTGTGAGATCGGAGAGTAGGGAGTGGTCATTCTGGCTGTCGATGGCCAAGGAATCATCGCCGTAGAGGCAGGTAACCAGCAATTCCAGCTGCGAGGAGAGTGAGTCGGGGGCGGGATCCACGCTCCAGAGGGAGAACTTGAGCAGCGTGCTCGGCTCCAGGGTGTCCTTGTGCTGCTCGTAGTCCCCCAGCTGTGAGTAGCGAATGTCCACGAGTTTCATCAGGCTCTTCAGCTGCGCAAGTCGATGGAGAAGCGACGACTGGTCTCGTGTCTTTCGCAGCAGCGTCTCGATGGTCAAGGCAGTGCTGAGTGCCTGCTGCTCTTCCAGTCGCCGGATATTCCCGTTCACAGCCTCCATTTGCTGGAGCAGTCGCTGCTGGTGCTCGTAGATCACAGCTCCCGCTGTGACCTCAGCCACGGGCAGCTTTTCGATGAGGCTCCAGGAATGGAGGATCGTCTGGGTGACCTCCTTGATAAAGCGTATAATGTCCACGGTCTGTTGGATGGCTCCGCCTGCTCCGGAGGAGGCGGAGTACCCAGGCACCGCGAGCACGCTAAAAGCGCACAAAATCAGCAACAACTTCATAACCTGTCAAAAATCACGTTTTATTTTCGGAAGCTTTAAAACGTTCTTAAACTTTATGATTTGTTTATTTGTTTACCCTTTGTTTTTCTCCTTCAGCAGCTGCTCGAAATGCTTACGTTGCAAATTAAGTTTTGTTGACTCCAGAAAATATATTTAAGCACTGCGTCCGATCATCGGACTCTCTCTGATCGCAACGAATAATTAAATGGAGTTCAGCTCTTACGCTTTATTATAATTTTTTTAAATAAAAACTGCCAACTTGTTTTCTATTTAAAATACTGCAGTTTAGTATTAATATTCTAATATTCTGGAAATATCTAAGAATTCAGAAAATGTAACGTAATTTCTGCTGATAGCCATATGACACTCTAATGCAGTTTTCATTAATTATAGCCAATTTGATTATTTCCCAGCTTTTATACACATTTTATATGTAGATTATCATCATTAAATAGATTATTTTTTTTCTATGAATCACTGATCTATGATCACTACAGCTGTTGCATGCCTAGAAAAAAACACATTTTTCAGGCATTTTAAACATAAACGCCACAGAAAATACCATAAAGGGCTGCCAAATCAAAGCATTTTAAAATGACTTACTGCGTGTGGGCAATGAGCAGAAAAGCTGAAAAAGGGGAATCCCATACTAAATGGAATGAACTGCAGAGTTGCATTCCCACCCACACATACATACATACACATGCACATACATATAACTCTAAGAATATTTGAAGGAAATTTAATACTTTTAGTGCACAAAAGCGGGAACTGTTGAATGCCGAAGCGATAAAGCTGAAAGGCAGAGCACAATCACAAAGGTGATTGCAATTTTTCTCTAGCTGCTTTCCAAGGCGGAAAAGCCGGAAAACCGGAGCACAGGGAGCCACGTGAATGGTCAGATACGGAAGCAGGGGAGCAAGCAAGCTGTTAAAGGATACTACCAGAGTGGGAGGACGGTGGCTCAAAGAATTTGTGTTAATGGATTTCACTTTTTAAGAAATAAATTACTATCTCCGGCCTCAAGGGGAGCGAGTCCTAGAGAGTCCACAAACAAAGTTCCGAGCAGTTTGCATGATTGGATGGGATTTTGGAGTCATTAGCAAAGAAAGATGCTGCACAAAGCCGAGAGGAATGCCCCTCAGTTTGTGATTATATCTGGTTCTCTGCACCTTTCCTCTTCCTGCCACGTCTCCCGATATGTTTGTATGTGGAAATTGGAGCTCTATTATTGCAAGTGAACACATAAAACAACAGCGGGGCCCAAAGTAAACAGCAATTAAGTGCAGCAAAAGGGTTGGGTTCAAACAGAACAAAAAAAAAAATTCAGAGGGAAACACGGCAAATGCAAATTGTTAATTAAAGAAATGGGCATTGTTTAATGCGCCCCATGTGAAATGTTCCGGGCCAACACCTGAGCCCCGCACAGCCATCCTTTCTTTTTGTTTCGCCCAAACTCATTGCCCTTTTCCCAATTACTCGTTGGAAAACATTATAAAGGAGAGCAGGATGTATGTAGGTTTAGCTAGGGAAACTGGAGCCTGGGATAGCATTCGAAAAATCGGTACATACAGTACCTTTATCCAGTACACTTCAATATATTAAAAATGATTTTGAATAATTAGAGATTTCTGTGGACTTTCCTGAAAATATATTTCAGAAAAGTTCAATTCAATCAATTACTTCTTGTAGTTTTTGTATTTTCTATTTATTTTAAGGACACAAAACTGTGCTTTCAATATTCCCTTTCTAAAGAGTACCCATTGATAGGTTCCCACATATTTCGAAAGGAGAAAAAAAGAATAAAAACGAGCATTCAGGACGAAGAGAGAGGGGTGCAAATGGACCGGCGACCCACTTGGAACTGCCCCGACGACAGCCATTACGACGGCGCCCCGCCGCACCTCGAAAAGTACCCGGAAAAGTGGGGAAAATGGCCTGTCCTGGCCTTTGTGCGAGTTATGATTGCCCCGTGCTGATGCTGCTGCTGATGATGACAATGTCGAATCTCGATCCCGGCTGCCCTGCATCGAACGACTTTCCAATGGGCACGATTTATAATTTGATTAGCGCATCGCTGAATGCACACGGAAAAGAAAAGTCAGGAAAGGAGTGCGGCGCGGAAGTGCAGCCGAGTGCACTGAGCGAAATCGGATGGGAGGTGGTGTTCCCGGTCCGGGGACTCTTATCTCATCATAGTGCAAAATGGAGCGGGCCATCACAGTCCGTTAGCTGACAATGACAAATGATGATGGAGGAGCGGTCGCAGAAGAAGAGTCCCAGAAAAAAAAGCCGGGAAAGCCTCTCGAAACCAAACTCGCTCTTTTGGCTTTCAATTAATCCGAGCAAGTGGCTCTTCTATTGAGCTAGGCCTCAGTTTCGGCCTCCTCTGGCTGCCATAATCAGTTGTGTTTTGTTTCGCCACAAATCCCTTCCCCTCCTCGGTCGAAAAAAAACACGATCCGCCCCAAAAGGGTTTTATCTCCGAAAACAAAGGGGCCGAAATTTGCCTCTGCCATTCATTAAACAATAAACAACAAATCCAGCTTTGGGGGGGCGTGGCGCCGCATCCTGCCCGGGAAATAGATTAATGGCCGCAGACAAGGCCCAAAGAATCAATTTATTACACGGCCGACAGTTGACCGCAAAAACGCGACCACAAAAAAGGTGTTTTAAAAGCCTGTATAGCAAAAGCTTGTGGAATAAAAATAAATACATAACTAAAGACTAAACTACGACATATAAATATGAAGAAGAAATGCAGATATTTTTCTTCTATTTTCGCCTTCAAAAATATAAATCAAATGGACAATATTAATGTAAAACTGGAAAATTTAAAACTCCTTTTTGAGATGCTAAAGCTTCAACTTTGCGCACTCGTAGCGCGTGCAGCAGGGATAACAGTCCGGGGCCTTGATGCAGCTCAGGCCAAGTCGGGACAGCTCAGCTGCCTCCCAGGCGCGATCCTTCTTGAACAGCTCTATCATTCGCTGGCGCCTGGCTCCAACGATCAGTAGATCGGCGGTGGCCATCTCAATGTCCAACGGCTTGACCAAAAAGTTAATGACGCCACTTCCTGAAGGGGACTTCAGCAGATCAGGTTGGTTCAGGAGAGAGAGGCTATCAATGAAATAGGGTTCGCAATTAAAAGGTTCCCTGCGAGAGATGTTCCCAATAGAAGCCTTACAAATTCCAGGACCTGTACATCTTGTTAGTGAGTGTGAGACAGCTGCACAGAAAACTCAGTGCTTCTGTGATTGGATACACTAATGTAAGCCAGCTGACAAACTCCTCCAGGCCGGATTTTATGCCTCCTCAATTAGGCTCCCCAACGATGACAAAAGGAATGCCCCAGGTCTCAGGGTACCGAATCGAGAATCTATCATAACTAAGCCAAAGATGCATTAATTTTAACACAGAAAGCTGTTCTGAGTTGGTTTTCATAAGGGTAAAAAATCTGCATACTGAATTTTTAAATTAAAATTTTTGCCAATTTTGTCAATTTTAACGATGTAACCCCTTATAAAATTTAGAAAAAAAATAAAAAAAAATTATTTCTCTCCGGACATGGCTAAAACGATTCGGCTGTTGATGCTGATCAAGAATATATATGATTTATAGGGTCGGAAATAACTCCTTCACTGCTTTACCAGCTTCTGACTGGAATTAAAGGACCCCTGCAAGGGTATTACTATTCAACAGCTAACAATACATTCTCATTCAAATCACAATAGTTTTAATTTTATCCAAAGCTATTTCCACCTTCAAAATTCATTATCATATAGACGAATAAATTTAAGAATCCAGAATTCAAAACCCTTCTTGAGTTGCTACAGCTTCGCCTTTGAGCACTCGTAGCGCGTGCAGCAGGGATAACAGTCCGGGGCCTTGATGCAGCTCAAGCCAAAGCGGGACAGCTCGGCTGCCTCCCAGGCGCGATCCTTCTCGAACAGCTCCATCATTCGCTGGCGCCTGGCTCCAATGATTAGCTGATCGGCGGTGGCCATCTCAATGCTTATTGGCTTGACCAAAAAGTTAATGACGGCACTGCCCGAGGGGCACTTCAGCAGATCGGGTTGGTTCAACAAGTCAAGGCTAGCAAGGAAATGGGGTTATAATTAATAAGTTCCTTGAAAGAGATGTTCCCTTACAAATTCGAGGAATTTTTCATCTTCTTGGGTTTTTTTGAAGGAAATGTTAATGAGACTGCTGTGTGTGTGGTGTGTGTGATTGGCAACACTAATGTAAGCCAGCTGACAAACTTCTCCAGGCCGGATTTGATGCCTCCTCAATTAGGCTCCCCAACAACGACTAATCGAATGCCCCAGGACTCGGAATGGGGGCGGGAAATTGAGGCTGAGTAGCTGCATGTAGCAGCAGACTGACACTCAACACCATTTGCCACTCACCAAAGGTCAATCGAGCGAGTTGAACCCTCCAGACGTGGGATGTACATATCAGCCGCCGTCCCTACATGGCTGCCACTTACGCTACAGAGGCGGCACAAGTGGGGATGGAAGGGTATATGATCCAGATGAGATAGTTTAACATCAGGTTTAAACAACTACAATTTACTTTGTTATAACTCTACGTTTATAATGCCTTTTCTTAGCCTTTGATTGAATGTTAAAACGAAATGCAAAATATACTTTCAATTAACCCAGTGTCCTCCCATTCACCTGGCTTCTAATTGTCTCCCTTTCACTTTCTCCAAGTCAACAAATAGTCACCACAAAATCCCCCTACACAGCGCATGGCAGCCAAAACAATAAAAAGACAAAGAAGTGGCGGTGCCAACAAAGAAGGCAGATGGAAAAACAAGGCCAAGCCAACACACAAATCGTTGTTCGGCAATTTCTGTCAGGCGGACTATGCCTTTTCATCCCATAAAGTCATGTTCCAAAACGGGCGGAGGGGGGGAAACAGTCAGGTGTGTAATTGCAATCCGAATTGGTCAAGTGTAACAATGCAAAGACGCATCCTGCAGCTCACACCTGCTGCCCGTCGAGGGAATCAATTTGATCCTTGAACTTAGGCAACAAACTGAAACTGCAACTTGGCCAGAAGCACGGCAAACGAAGAATAGAGAACAGGACACGGGATTGGGATAGGAATAGGGACCGGGACTAGGGAGTTCTCTCTGGGGAACAAAATCAAATTGCAAATTGCATCCCAAAATGTCACGTGCACATCGACGACACATTTTTCGAAGGCGGGAAGACCCAACACACACACACACACATACACAGTCTGACGGGGGTTTCCTTTTTGGTCGGAGATGTCGTGACATGGTCGACATGAGCAAAGGTTATTGCAATTGCCCGCCAGAGCAATCAGTGGACACCAGACACACGGAATGGATACCACAGACGGGAGCCGTTACAGCCAGTACTGTGTCAGCTGGATAACTTTTGGAGCCAAAAAGTAGCAATTTAATTTAAATTACTAAATACGATTTAATTTATATATTTATACCTTTCCTGGGTATTATAATTTCAGTCAGAAGTCTGTTAGAAAGTGAAGGAGTCATTTGCGACCCTATAAATCATATATATTATTGATCAGCATCAGCAGCCGAATCAATCTAGCTTAGTTTGACAGAAAACTAATTTTTTTAATTTTGTAAATTTTTTTCCCCTCAGATTTGATAAGGGTAACCCCTTAAAAAAGTGTGAAAAAATTAGAAATTTTAAAATAGTAAATTTAGAATGCAGATTGTTAATCTAATAAAATGTAAGACAAAACTGTTTTCCGATTTCAAATTAATGCATTTTTGGTTTAGTTATGATTGATTCAAAGTGTGGTCCTTGATCCAATGGCTTACTGTAAGGGTATACAAACTTCGGCTTTCCGAGAAAGCTTTTGTAGTTTAAGCTTGATTTGTACCAATACTAATGATATATCAAATTTATTAAAGCAAAATATACAGAAGCTTTGGTCTCAAAACTGTTTTTTGAAGTTGTTCTCAAAATTCTTAAAATTCTTAAATTTCTTAAAATTCTTAAAATATTTAAAATTCTTAAAATTCTTAAAATTCTTAAAATATTTAAAATTACAATTACAATTACTATTTTTTCTTCTTCACAGCTATTTTTCATGTAAGAAATATTCTTGTCTAGAAAAAAGCCAAGTTTGTAGACCTTTTTCGAGGGAAAAATGACTTGCCGTCTATAGCTGCACCTGCAACGGCTCCTGCAGTATGCGCTGAACTCTTTTGCTACTCCACGCGCGGGTGGCTTCATGGGAGGAGGTGGAGGAGTTGGGGCAGCAGCAGCAGCAGCAGATTTCGTGGGTGGCCACCCCACGCCCCATTCATTATGTTGACCACGCTGTCGCATTTGCTACGTGACATTCTGCTAACTGCCCTGAAAATGGAGCCGGGGCCGTGTCGCACTTGGTGCATTGTCGGCTCAGCTTATAGCCCTACGATGGACGACATGGCTCCTCCAAACGCAAGGTGGAGCTGGGATTGGAGTACCTTATTTAAGTACCTTATTTGTATTAATGTTTATTAATTCACTGCTCCCTTAAATATTAATAGTAATAGAAATATAATACTATAATTAACATTTACCAGAAATCTTTAACAAATAAATGCAAATAAATGCAAAATGACAATGAAAAAACTATACACGGAAACAATTTAATTAATCACTTTAAAGTTTTTTCATTTAAAATAAAACTTTTATGGTTAAATAATTTTAAAGACATTACAAAAATAATATTCCCTTCTCTCCGCTTCGTACCCTCTCTCTGGCTCTCACAAGCCTTGCCGATAAAGGACCTCCTCTGCCCCCCTGAGAATTAGATTGCAGTTAGTTCGCCTGCAGCCCGCTTTCCGCATCCTGCAGTTCATCCTAATCCTCCTGTTAGCTACTAAGATGCCCATCCCCATAGCCATGATGTTTTGACCGCCCATGAGATTTGGCCCGAAAATTGACTCGGCGCTCGGCAATTGGTGGAGCAGCGTATCCTCGATCCCCCCCTTCCCCCTGGTGATGGGTGCAACCCAGCTCAGCTTAGCTCAGCTCGTCGGGCTGCCAAATTTATCCAATTGCATTGCCATTACACTATACAAAGTTATGGCAATCTCTCTCCGGAGAATATCGCCGGGGCGGGCCGGCAAGAAACAAAGAAACAATGCAGTTCGAAAGTTGCCCGGGATTTGTGCGAGCATCGAATTGCAAGTAAATAAAGCGTCTGGAAAGCAACACCTCCGGCATATCCTCCTCCAATCCTTGCAGCAGCAGCAGCAGGAGTTGAGTTATGAACGTGCTGGGAGCAACAAAGCGAACACAACACCCGCAATCCGGGAAACTGGTAGCTGGTAACCGAAAGGGGCAAGCAGGAGGCGGTGGAAGCCTTGTAAAGTAAATGTGCAAACATTTATTTATGTGGCCTGCCAAGGAGCACTTTAAAGCCCTGCAATTGCCCTGATTCTGGCGGAGAGTACTGCATATTTATATATGGACCCGGACTCTCAGTATACAAATGACTCCAGAAGGTTTCGTGGTTAAAGTGTGCTGCCAAAGCCAGTTCTTGGACAGTCCATTTGCCATAAGAACACAAATTTAACATAGCCCGGAAATTGTATCCTTTTTCATTTTTTGGGTTAATTCTCATAAAAGAGAATTTGATTTATGTGGATGTTTTGTGCAGTTCTAGGGACTATCTCTATGAATTTATTTATTTGTAAAGCTGTTTAGTTTGTTAAATCTATTTATAAAATTTCCCATAAGAAAGTTTATCCTTAATTTTCACAAGAAAATCCTCTAGTGATGGAGACCCTAATCGAATTTGATTTAAAATTAAATATTTACCATTTAAAGCTCTATTTGTGTGCTCCCTAATTTAAGCAAAATTCTGCCAGAATAAGGATGTGAAAATACCTCCTCTCACCACCTTTCAAAATCCCCATTAGTAGTCGTAGTTGTCGTTGTCGCTGGTCGTCCTGGAACATCATTATTTGGCACACATTCGGTCCTGCTGGCTTTGTGTTTCAGCCGTCGCATTTCAATTTTAATGAGCACTTGAGAGTTGTTGCTCGTTTTTAGCCGTAACTTTAATTAACAACAAAAGTCATGGTCTTGGCCAAAAACAAAAACGGCGAATAACAAAAAGTAAACGCAATGAAAAAGCTTAATTTGTAAGGGAACTAAGGGAGAGAGAGAGGAGAGGAAATAAAAAGACACATGAGGCCGGGCCGGGAAAATTTCGAAAGGAAACTACTACTGCTACTTCTTGCAAGGAACATGCGGAACATAAAAAGTCGCCAGCAAGTAGTTTTTGCACTTGTAGTACTGCTTTTTCCTCCAAGCCAGAGAGGAGCGAGAGTTCCGGAAAATGTTTTTTCTCGTTTTTTTTTTGGGGACCCGTAGCTGGGATATAAATACGGGTCCTGGGCCAAGGGCCATGGCTGGCGCTGCTGCTGTTGGCGTTAAAAAAGCGGAAAATCGCAGCACATTTTTGCTTTTTAATTAAGCCCTCAATTTTTTATGTTTCCATTCGAAAGCGACACGCCGTGATTTCGCCTCGTCTCCTTTATCCTTGGCTCTTTGCCGCTTGCCATCGAAAAATAGTTTACTCTTTCACAGTGGAGCAGCAGCAGGAGCAGGAGAAGGGACAGGAGTAGGAGCAGGAGTAGGAACAGAAGCATCTGGAGTGTAAATGTGCGTGCATCATGGGTTAAGGAGTTTGTCTTGACAAATAACTCTACACTTAAAATATCATTTCCTTAAATAATATATAAAAACAAACAAAAACTCAAAGCCCAAAATATATATTATAAAACCCAAAGGTAGCAGTACAAATCAATCCTTAATTTTTCGATTTAAAAAGTGCCAAAAGAAATTACTGAGAATTCCTAAAGAAATTCTATAAATACTTGGAGTTAACCGCTCAGCCGCTCAGTTTACGTCGGACTCGAGTCGGGCTACCATCAACGATCAACGTGTGGAGTGTCTCTGCCATAAGTGGGTAATTCGGCTAGATCAATGAACCCCCTCGATACGCACACGTTAATGCAATTACATCGAGTGCTTCATTGGCGACACCTTCACGTACATCTCAACCTCCAGTTCCAGCTCCAGCTAAACCGGTTTCAGAAACTCAACAACGCGCAGGCACTGGGCTTCGGGACTGAAGCTAATCAGCTTGAGGTGGTGCATGCGGTACGAGTCCACCAGCCAACCATCGTCGTTGCCGCCTTTGCTGGGATTCCGACAAAACTCCTCGAAATCCTCCTCCAAGTTCCTGAGCCTTTTGCAAAAGGTAAGTCCCACTTCGGTGACTACAAGACAGCGCTGTATGGGCTCGCCGATCCTCTGGACCTGCAACTCGGAGAGCAAGTTCTGCAGCCGCTCAAAGACCTCCGCCTGCTCCTCCTGGGTATCAAAGTCCAGGAGATTGCGCAGACCAACGAACAGCATGTCCACCAGGACACAACACTGTCCATCGATCCACTGGCGGCCCACTCTCAGGGGCACCGCGTGCCTCAGGTGTTGGCTTTGGAAGCGCATCAGGTCACCCACAGACCGGTGGCTGCCCTGACCCTGAGCCAGCCCGTAGATGTCCACCGATCCACGTTCCGTGCAGCAGCTCCGTATGCAAATCCAGTTGGACAGGCGTATTGCCTCCATCATGGTGGCCGCAGCCTGACGGGTGCCCTCCTGGAAGGCGCTCTCATCGAAGGCTACGCCGAGCAGCCGGCGCAGGCGCCAGAGGCAGTAGCGTTGCTGGAGTCTACTGAACACCTCTATTATGCGGAGCTTCCACCGGTTGCTCCAGGACAGGGGGCACACCTCGCGGCAGGGCGGTTGAGGAGGCGGAGGGACATGATATTTCCTAATTTTGATGAGACATGTTGAGCCGCCCCTCAAAACCCTTGACAACATGCTTGAAAAAATTAAAAAATACTAATATACATATATTATATTCAATTTGTAGAGAATGAGGTTGCTCAGCCAACTATTCTGGCTCCTCCTGCTGACTATAGTTCCCTTGATCCTTGCTGTATATGAAGACTATCGCCTGCCCAGTGCCTTGGAGCCTCAGCATTATGATCTACGGATTCTCACCCACATGGATGAACTCCGATTCGAGGGCCTGGTGAGAATCCATCTGCTGGCACGAGAATCTACCAGGAACATCACCCTTCATGTGAAAGATCTAAAGATAGATGAGGAACGGACCACGGTGAGCTCTTTCCAGGAGGAAAACTGTGTGACCAGCATAGAAACCCATGATCTTTACGAGTTCTACACCCTGCACTTGTGTCGGGAACTGGACAAGGGCAAGGTTTACCAGCTGGAAATGCATTTTGGGGCAAGCCTGAATAAATCGGATTCGGGTTACTACAACAGTTCCTATACGGATGCGAAAACGAAGCAAGTTCTGTAAGTTTAAATATACTCATGGGGTATATATTGAGACTAATTAACTATTTTATATTTATTTACAAAAGTAACCTAGCGGTGACACAATTTTCACCAACATTCGCTCGTCAAGCCTTCCCCTGTTTCGATGAACCCTCCTGGAAGGCTACCTTTAATGTTACCCTGGGATATCATACAAACTACACGGGATTGAGTAACATGCCAATTGTGGGATGCCAAGAGCAGTAAGTAAATGGGATCTCTAGGATCTCCAGATTAGGATTAGGAGATTAGGATTCCAGCGATCCCTGCATTATTCTTTACTTTATTTTCCCAGCGAAACCCTTGACCACTATATTTGGTGTCAGCACGAAACGCTCTTAAGGACCTCCACTTACCTAGTGGCCTATGCCGTTCATGATCTGCCGAATAGAACCACAACTGCCGATAAGCAAACCCCTCACAACAAAGTAACTTTCCGTAACTGGATACAGCCAGATCTGCTGGATAAAGAAATGCAATTCCTGGAAATGGCACCCAAATTAATCACCTTCTTCGAGGAACTTTTCCAGCTTAATTTCCCGCTGGCGAAAATCGATCAGTTTGTTGTTCCCACGCACCGATTTACTGCAATGGAAAACTGGGGCCTGGTCACCTACAATCAGTTTAATTTGGCCATTAACCCCAATGACGATCTGCAGGTAAAGAAGGATTCGAATACCTTTACCGCCGGCCATGAGTACGCGCATCAGTGGTTCGGGAATATGGTGACCATGAAGTGGTGGAACGATCTCTGGCTGAAGGAGGGACCTTCTACCTATTTTTCCTACCTGGCCATGGATGCTCTGCAGCCAAAGTTGAAAAAAGGAGAGGCAATGATTGCCGAGGATCTAGGGAACTTTTTTGCCAAAGACTCGTTTGGTTCAATGACAGCCATCTCGAAGGAGGTACGTGATCCTGGCCAGATCTTGGCGCAGTTCTCGGATTACGTCTATCAGAAGGGATCGTTGATGATCAGGATGCTGCACAAGGTGCTGGGAGAGGATGCCTTTCTCCAGGGCATTCGTTCTTTTCTAAAACAGCACGCTTTGGGGAATGTGGTTCAGGCGGATCTATGGGAATCCATGCAGAAGGCTGCTCAACAAGAAAAGGTTATCTCTGCAGACTTTAACCTGAGTAGAGCCATGGACACGTGGACCCTTCAAGGTGGCTATCCCCTGGTCACCCTCATCAGGGATTACAAAACAGGCACGGTTGCCCTCAATCAAACCAGGTTTTATAGGGGAAAGGAGACTGAGGGGAACTCCACCTGCTGGTGGATACCTCTAAGTTTCGTCAGACAAGGCCTGCCTGATTTTGAGAAAACTATACCACAGGCAAGCCTGGAATGTCCTGGAAAGACCCAAGAAGTTCTGACACTGCCGGATCCCCCAAGTGCCCAGGAATGGCTGCTTGTTAACCCACAGGTTAGCTCCATATTCAGGGTTAACTACGACGAGCACAACTGGCGCCTGATTAAACAGAGTCTCAAGGGTGATGCCAAGTTTGGTGGAATTCACAAACTGAACAGGGCTCAGTTGATAGATGATATGATGGCCTTGGCTTCTGTTCGAATTCAAAGCTACGAATGGGCCTTCGATGTTTTGGAGTATCTAAGGAAGGAGACGGAGGATCTGCCTTGGAAGAGAGCCTTAGCATTATTAAACGAACTGGGAGCTTTGCTGAGTGGCCAGGACAAGAATGATTTCAAAGTAAGAAACGTTTTAAGAATTTTCTTAAATTAAAATATTCCCTTTTAGGTCTACATGCAACAGCTAATCTCACCATTGTACAAACGCTTCTCAAAGCTGGAAATCATATCAAAGACCAAGCCAGCCACCAACGAGATATCCTTCCAGAGATTTGCGTACACTCAGGCCTGCCACTACCACGTGGATGATTGCGTCGAGCAGGCCAAGGCACTGGCGATATCCCGACAGGAGCTACCCTCCGATTTTAGGGAACTGGTCTATTGTTCCTTTCTCAGAGAAGGCGGGGAGGTAGAGTTCCAATTGGTGCTGGGACTCTTTAAGAATGCCACTAATGATGCTCAGCAACTTATATGGGCCTCTGCTCTTGGCTGCAGTCGGGATTTTAATCATTTGAAGGAATTTCTGGACTTAACCTTGGGATCAAAAGAGAAAGCCGTCAAGAATTGCTTTCTGGCTGCGGTAAAGACAGCTTTAAGTGGGGATTACCTGACTTCCCAGACAACTAACCATATCCTGAGCCATGCGAAAGTCATAGGGTAAGTTTTGGCGACTTTATATTTGAATAAATAATTATTCTGACATTCTTGGCAGTGAAAAGTTTAAGAAGAAGGAGCTTACAAGCCTGCTGCTTCGATTGGTTGGACAGGTTAAGGAATCTAAGGTATTGGAGGAACTCAATGATCAGTTGAAGGATATCAAGCCGTTCAAGAAACCCCTCAAGGAAGCCCTCGATCTGGCCAGCATAAATCAGCAATGGCAAGAGGATTGCGCCGGGGATTTTAGTCGGGCTTTGAGGAAGCATATTTAAACTTTAAACTTTTTTAAACATTTCATTAAATGCTGACATATTTTTTGTAATTATATCCCCTTGAGTTTGCATCTCTCTATCTGTATGGACTTATTTCAAAAGGATTGCTTGGCTTGGCACCTGTGTCACCTCCTCCTAACGCCACACGGACCTCAAGCTGAGGCTGCAAGCAGCTGTCAAGTTCCATGTTCTTGGTATTAATTAAGGCAATGGCGATGAAATCTTGGAGCCACCATTGAAAGGAATGCGAGCAGCGGGCAGTGGGCTTTGGGGCCTTGAGGAGGCCAGCGTGGCTGTCAGAAACGGGTCCTGTCAGGACTTTGACTGGTGGATTGCCTGACACGGGACACACACCGACACTATCCATCTGCAGCACACAGTGCTCCTTTGTTTTGGGTCCCTCCGTTTTCCATTTTCCGTTTTCCTCGGATTCCCTCTGCCGGCATTTGACGTTTACACGGGTCTGTCAAAATATGTACTCATCCTCAGTGCCATTTCCACATCCACCGATGACGATGACGATGACGACATGTGGAAAGAACATGGAAATGGCGGCCCCAACAACAGCATTTAGTTATCCCAGCTCCCAGCTGCTGTCAGGGAGCTGAAGCCGAAGCTGGTGTACAGATCGAGGCGGGGATCTTCACGGCTGACTGCCAATTAGGCAAATTAATCGCCTGTAATTGACGTGGCAGGAGAGAGAGAGAGGAGGGGTTAATGGATTGTGTTGAGACTTAGGGCGTCACTCGAGCCAAACTATCTGTCAATTGGCCACTATTATGATGGCTTATGCAATAATCTTGCATTCACAGCCACTTCAACTTGCAGGAACTAACAAACAATTGACTTTAGGACTGGATACTTTGCTGGCTTTCAGATGACAATCGCCTGAAGGAGGGCTTGGAGAGCAAACTTAATGAGATTGAGAGCTTAGCAGATGGACAAAGTGTATTGGAAATTAATATAATTATCCAGACAGTTCTTGAATTGAAGAGAAACTAAGATACACTCCCCTAAATTAATTATAGGTAAGCCCTTGCATAATCTACTCTTCAATAAAAATATTATAAAAATTAAATTACATACTATTACTTAGAAAATCTGAAGGAAAATCCTTAACAACTGTTAATTTAATACTACTTTCAAGTTCTTTAGTTATTAATTTGAAATTTTAAGTCTAATTTTTCTCAAAAAACTCTGCATTTTCGTAATTATAAACATCCACCCATCCAAGTCTGAAAAAACCTTTAGGAAAATTCCCCCGCTTGGACTCTTTCAAGCAAATAAAACTGCGAATCAATCAATTGATGACCCATAATTGAAACCACAAAGAGAATCCATGCGTATGTGCATTTCGTATGCATCGCTCTATATACATATTTGCTGGGAAATGCAAATGAAAAGTGGCCCTGTCAGAAAAATTAACGCTATTAATGCTTGTTAAAAGCGGTTATTAAATTAATTAAATGTGATGCCAGCCTGATGCGCGTGTAGAACAGGCTCGAACAGACACTGAAAACGGACTGCCGACTGCTGGCTGCCGGATTATTGCATGTTAAATATTTACGCTTGGACATTGGCATTTTTAGTGCTACTTTTTGCTTATTTATTTATCACAAATTAATTGAATCCCGAATGCTTTCAGTAGAGGAGAGTCCGAGCGAGTGAGACTATTAAAAATCGCTCAAATGTCAAATTAATGGCGGGAATTATGCATCCTTCAAAAAATAAAAATCTGTGAATTCTGTATTCAGCGAAAAATTATGGAATATCTAGAAATTCAATATTTATAAATCTGATATATATTAAATTAAAAATTAAACTATGTATTGGCTTTTGGGAAATATCAAAGAATAAGTTATTGGTTTTCAACAAGAAAATTGTTTTATGTAAGTGAATTTTGTAAAAGGTCTGGAAAACCATAATTACAAAGGATATCTGGAAAAAGCCTTATAATAAGCTCCTGAATTAATTTTAATTTTAAAATTTACAAATAAATTTTTGTATATCTGACATCCTTATAAATTTGTAGGGATTTTTTCACAATTTAAATTTTCCCTACTTTTAAATATTTCTGCCATTTCTCTCTTCAAGAAGTGTATGTATTTTTATGGCTCCAGTGCTCTCGGGCGCCATAGTATGTATGCAAGTAATTTGTGGGCAAGTTTTATGCTTGGTTAGCTCTTTTGAATGTCCAAATGCCTCGGGTATAGCATAATTCTGGTATTTTCAGCTGGGCTACTGGTAATCCAAATCCAACGGCTTCTTGGGCGGTTGATCCTTGCTCCAGCTGCTGCTGCAGTTTTGGCACACAATCAAATTTCGAACGTTAATTAATATGCATTCAGTGTCTGAGCAGGGCAGGGATCAAATTATGTAATAGCCGCATTAAAATTGAATTTCTGTATGCGTGCCTCGCCGATTGTGGGAGTATCTTTCGGCTGTCGGTTATGTGGAAGAGGGAGTGGGAGTATCTCTGTGTGGACTTGGGTTTCTGTGCACGTGGCAGGCCTTCGCCGCTGTCCGTTTGCAAAATGGAAAATGGTCTAATTAGCCCTAATTGAATGCGACATGCTTAGTAGCCCCATCGGAGCCCCGCCTCGTCGTGGCCCCGCTTAAGCGAGACAAATTATTTGTGTGTAGCTGCAATTGCAATTCAATTGGAGTGTTTGGATTATCAATTCCTGCCAACCGATTGTCGATTATGCTCTCTGTGTGTGCCCTGGCCCGGCAATCAGGCCAATTGCAGCTCCCAAGGAGAGCGACAAACGTGATTACAATGGCCCAGGAAATGGAGCAGGTGGAGCAGGTAAGAGAAAGTCAAAGGGTTTGTGCTTCATAAATGAATGTGATTTGAATACAATGGTTTTTAAGATTTATCTAGTTGTTGCATTTTAAAATTAAATTTACTAGATTTTAATACTAACTACAATAATATTATTAGACTCTGGCGCATTAACGAACTCTAGAACTCTTTTATTTAACCAACAAGCAAAATTAAGCACTAAAAGCTTATTTTTCCCCTAAAATCCCCAGTAATTGCCCATGCTGAGCTCTTTAGCAGAAAAACTTCTTGAATTCATCATTGTGAAATGCATTTTAAAGCCCCGCAAATGAACCTAAAAATCTATTCATTGCACTTTTCACCTCTCTCGCCTGCCAAGAAGTTTTCTTTGGAAATCACAACTTGAATGCGGAAATATATATTTCAATTAGTGAAGAGTTTTGCCCCCTTGGCAGCTTTGTTGCCCCATTGTTCCTGGGCTTTCTCCGCTCTTCCTGTTGGTTTCTTCCTAGGTCCTGGCTCGCCTGTGTTTGCCTTTCGATTGGGATGTCGATGTTTTTTATTGTCTAAACTTGTGTATTACATTTTGTTGATGTCGTAAATTACGCCAGCTAGAGCTCTGTGTAGGTGCTTTCATTGTTTGTTGGAAAAGAGGGAGAATAAATTCATTAAAAACTTTTCTGGCCAATGCAAAAATCCCCTTTTTATTGACTTTGCACAGATCTTCGGTGGTTGGGCCTGCGTAAATATTTATGCAAAATATATTTCTGCACTGGCTAGCATGTTTTGATTGTGCGAACGCACTGGACACGGACGGACTCTGTTGTATATTCACAAATCCGAAATCGAATCGATTTGCTGACCACCTACCCCCCTCTCCTATCCTTATCATAATCAGAGTGAAAACTTTGCTTACTTTACTTTACATTTATTGCTTCCGTCCCCCGGACCGCCGCACTTTTGTTTGAATTTTCTAAAAGAAATAGAACGTGAAAACTATTTCTTGCTGGCGCCTCCAGGCTGTGAGACATTCGGAAGAAGAAACTTTGCCACAAAAGTAGGAAGCTGGGCCGGGCAGAAACCCAAAAACTTGCACTTGTCCGGCCAAGGGAGACGGACGGACAGGGCACAAAGAGATGGCAACTTACAAATTTAGATTACGAGCACAAGCACAATTGCCACACATGTTTGCACAAATGCTGGCTGGCTGCCTGGCTGGCAGGCTGCTGAATTGTTTAATTTCATTTAATTAAATTGCAAATATTTTATTGCTGCAAAACTTGCAACAGAAAATTCCCGTTCTCTTTCCTCTCTTGTAGAGCTTGAATTTGTGTGTGTATGACGCCATCTGGCCAACATATGCGGCACTACAGTGGCATTATTAGTAAGTTTTGTGCGTCTATGTGTGTGTAAGTGCATTGTAAGCAGTTTAAACAAAAGTAATCCAAGGATAATTTGATCCTTAAGGATGCCAGAGAAGTTTCTAGTGATTTTTCTAGCTAACAGCGGCTCACGTACCTTCTCAAAAAGAGAGAAATGGAGTTTTTGCAATGCAAAACTCTCCCTCTGGAATACATTTTTAACGTAGATTCTTGATTAAATTTATAGGAATTAAATTATTAATTATATATTTATTTCTCTTTCACTTTTCCGCTTTTAATCAAATTTATTCCCAGGTTAGCATTCAACCCTTTACCTTTCGATTTTATTCACTTGAATGGATAATTATTATTATGGCTAATTTCGATGAGAGATCGATAAGCAATCATCGAAATGGAATCGCTCGACAACACCTCTATAAATATTGAGAGTGTCAGCCACTTGATGCTAATGCAAATTCGATTCCTCCGCAGGTTAACCCAAGCCACCCCTCCCATGCCTCAATAATTCACTTGACCACCTCAACGAGCTCTTGATTGGGCCCCTAAAAGGGGGATGGAGGGGGAGGGAAACACGACACGACGACCTTGGCAGTGCAAATCGAGTTCTAGCTACTTTCCGGCTCCTCCCAGCCCCAAACAACACTCGAAACAACAACAGAGCCAGGCATCCAGCTCCTTCTTTTTCTCGGAGCCACTTTCTCCTCTCACCTCCGGCCCCTTCTATGTGTTTCTTTTAAGTGCTCCTTATAGTTGATTCCTGCTATTGTTGTTGCTCCTCCTGTCGAGTTTCTCTGTTTACTCTGGCGCTGAGCAGCAAAAAGAAAGCGTCCAAAGAAAAACACTTTTAGCAC